CGTTTCTGCTACTCTATTTTTTTCCCTGGCCGGTAGCTGGGCCAAGTACTGGTGGTTTAATCCACTGGCATATTATTCCATTACCACTGTCAATCCATTTTCAAACAATGGTGGGGGGGGAGCGCATCCAACCCTTAGTTTTTGCATTTGCGCACCAACGGGCATGGTTGGAATCATCCGCCGAGTGAAAAAGCTTCTCTTATTGGTGGCCGGGCTTTCAAAGTACTTGGCCAAGCAATTTCAGTTCCAGTTCCACACTGTCGCTCATCGGGCATAGCCGCTTAGGACAGTTTGCGTTGACTTTTAAGTTCAACTGAATCTGCCCATAACTGTCATCCGAGACAAAAATGGTCAGGTTTGGAATTTCTTAGCATGGGCATGGCACCAATCGGGGGCTGCTGTGACGAGCTAGTTTTCAGTAACACGCGGATTTCTGACGGGAAAAGTTATAAATTCCTCTTGTGATGAAACCTTTGTACGCAATTGCCTCCATTTCCCGGCCCAACCAGGATGCAACAATGCCATTATGATGTGAAAAGTTGTTTTGGTGCCTCTTGCACTTTATGCCCCATTTGGGGGCAAATGTGTACAAAGGTTTCGTCATACGGGGGATTTATAACTTTTTTCATTTCTGAACCCCTCCGCGCTTATTTGGTTCTTCAAAAAGGGGTTGTATACTATCTTTTATTTTCGTCTTTTTGGAATTCCGGCATGCTTTGCAGGCTTTGTCGTTGATCGGGTATTTGTGGGCTTTCATGCATGTGCGCTTTTGGGGTCGGATGATCTTCTTGAATTTTGGCATTGGTGCAATTCTTTGGATTTGCCCTCGTAATTGGTCGGTGCTTTCATTTTTGGACTTGCAGTAGGATTTGCATCCGGCTAGCGAGCGCGCCCGAATTTTTTTCGGACCTTTCAATTCCAAATTTGTAAGGCTTCTTTCACAGACACTTCACGCAAAAGATTCTGCGCCTTTTCATTTTTCACACATTCACCTTCTTCGCCTGCGCATTTGCATGCAATCTTTTGAGCACCCGTCTTCCTCCTTTCTCATGCCTTTTCCCAATGACTGCAGCTGCCTTCTTCTCCCTCTCCCCTCACCACCCTTCTCTTTCTTGATCTTGTTGTATCTTGGTTCTTGCCCACACCATCTTTCATGACTCCCTTTCCTGCCCTTACTCCAACCTAGGGACGATCTTGGTGGGCCAACGTGGTCGTAGAGATTATATTGTTGCGTGGGGATTGATCCAATCCATCACACCACGGTTCGACCAGTTAGGGACCCCTCCTTCAGTGTTACCATAAACTCCGAGTCCCCGACTTCTTTGCCCTTTTTCCCCTTCCATGCATCCTCGTTCCGGGGCCCACATCTCCGCATCTACGACTTCCTGTTCGGAGTGTGAGTGGGCCTGGAAGTGCGAAAAGGGGTGTGCCAAGGATTTTTGGGAAAGTGGGGGTGGAGTCCCAGGTCGGAACTGAAATCTCCTGGGGCAGGTTCAAGGATGCAAAAGGATAGGTGCGGGTCGAAGTTTGTTTTTCTGTTTCTGAACGTGGGGCTATCACCTCTGTTGGTTTCGTCGTCTAGGTCGGACCCGTATTTGGTGCACGGTCGGCACGCTATGGCTATCGCGTTGTCCGACCACTTGTTGGCGTTGTGCGTCACTGGTATCGAAATCCGATGCGGCTGGCCGTAGCCGAAGGCTGTGCGCCCGTCGTTCTTCCTCCGAGCGGGTTCGACGGATGAAACCGGAGGGTCGGTACTCGTGGTCTTGCAAGCACTCCGAGAACGGGGGTTGGGGCCAATACGGAGCGATTGCACGTCAGGGGATGACGGTCAGCGAATGGAAGGGCAGTATGCGGTGGTAGGGAGGGAAGTCAATTTCCAGTATTGTTATTCCTGGTTCCGCGACAAGGTGACATGTGTACGAGCTGAGGAATTCCGGGTGGTGGGGAATGCGCTCTCGAGATCAGTTGATAGGCAAATGCGCTTGTTTCCCACCGAGTATGAAAATTCAGGAAGTTCTCTCCTCGTTCATGCAGACAGACACACATGCTCCCAATACCCCCGAAATTCCGGATCTCTCAAACACTCGCGGTCAGTAATACGAAAAGGGAGTTCAATATTCATGACGTGGGATGAGGTGGAAACTCAATCATTCGAAAAGTTGGACCGAGCACAGGCACTGCAAACACGCCTGTAGGCCTCGTTTTTCTGATCGGGCTTACATGTGCGTGCACAAGGTCTACCCCTCGGTCCAATAGATAATGACTAATGACCCATGTCTCGTATGTGCTGGCCCGTTAACCGAGGGTGGATAGCCCTATGGCGAAACAGACACCTAATCACCTAGCATGCTCATTTAATTTTGACAGACAATTACCCCTCGTCCATGCGCCCAGTTGTATGCATACATGAACAAAAACAAAAAAAAGGAAAGTGACAATCATTCATGCATCAGGATCGTACAAAATTCGATCGTAGGCAATTACCCAATCAATAGGGTCCATCCATACAGAGGGGAGAACAAAATGGGAGAAACAATCATGCATCAATCACTAGAGACGCGCGAAGAAAAAATTCGCGATACCGATCGAAAGAAACAGAGGCGACTTGCGTCGGATACCAAAATTGCTCAAGAGAAGAAAAGAAGAATCAAAATGGCTTAGAGGGATAGAAGAAGAAGCTCATCGCACACTTCCCGCCTCTTTCTCGTCCTCTGTCTCTCTCTCTTTCTTTCTTCACAACGTCCCGATGCGGGCAGTCCGTCGCCTCGCACCTACGCCAAGTTGTCACCCCGCTTAGCCCGAGCATGCCCGTCAGGTTCGCCCTTGTGCCACAGTCCGTCACGGCCCCACGTCAACCTCGCACGCCCAGCACCAGCTCGTGGGATCGCCGAACTCTCTTACTCACCTGCCAACTCTTGCTCGTTAGCCGATCCTCTCGACCGCGCGAACTCCAAAAAGTCTTAAAGAGGGAATTAATCGCGCTTGCGAGATTTATAGCATGCATGCTTTGCGCGAGATACTCTGGATCGTGTTCGGGTGGGAGGAAGAAGGAGGAAGGAAGTGCCTACGCTTGCATGCCCAGGCCGGGGCGTGGGGGACGTAGCCACACTCCGCACATCAATCCGGTAATGCAAGCGTTCAGGCCAATACGATGGGGGAGAGGTATGCGCGCGCAAAGGCGCCACAAAAGATATCAAGAACGAGAGGATTACAGTTGCAATTACGCCCGCCAAACAAAGATTACAGTTACACACGAGATTAAGGCGCGGGAAAGTCAGAACACAGTTCCTGACGAGGCCAAGCGTGCGCAAGCAGGAAGCGCTGCGCAGCAGAAATTGAGATGCGCCCAAATTCCTAATCTAAGTCCTAAGTACAAAAAGAAAATCCGAACGAAGCAAATTCTGAGAGCCCGCGGGGGCTCGACATCAGTTGAAAATTCAAAAAGATTTCCCGGCGCGACAATCGCGCCAAAATTCCCATTTCCCACTGTGACAGCAGAACAAGAAAGAAGCTATGGCAACCGTTTATTCGTCGCGCTCGCTGAGGCCCGATCAACTATCAACCGTCGTGGGACCAGACCAGCCTTCAATCGAAAGAGACAAGAAAAAGCAGGGGCATCCATGCAATCCGCCAGGCCATTCCGACTCAGCCAATTTCACCTCCCCCCCCCC